ACAATCGTCATCATCATCATCAGCATCGTCATCATCATCATCATCATCATCATCATCATCATCATCATCATCATCTTAATCATCAGCATCATCGTCATCATGATCATCATCGTTATCATCACCACCAGCACCACCAACCACCACCACCATCACCATCATCATTATCAACATCGACGTCATAATCGTCATCAGCATCATCAGCATCATCGTTATCATCGTCATCCTTGTCATCATCACCACCACCACCATCATCATCATCATCAGCAGCATCATCATCATCGGAATCATCATGATCGTCATCGTCATCGTCACCACCGTCGTCATCATCACCACCACCAAAATCGTCATCATCACCATCACCATCATCATTATCAGCATCATCATCATCAGCAGCAGCATCACCATCATCATCAAAAGCATCGTCAACATCATCATCATCATCATCATCATCACCATCATCATCATCATCATCGACATCCCTCGTCATCATCACCACCACCATCATCTCGTCTTTATCACAACCACCATAACCATCGTCACCATCATCAACGTCATCATCATCATCCTCATCATCATCATCATCATCGTGGTCGTCATCATCATCATCATCATCAGCATCAGCATCGTCGTCATCGTCATCACCACCACCACCATCGTAAGCATCGTCATCATCGTCGTGATCATCACCACAAGAACTATCGTCATCATCATCATCATCATCACAACTGGAACCATTATCATCACCATCATCATCATCATCATCGTCGTCATCATCATCATAATCGTCATCATCGTCATCATCACCCCCACCATCGTTATCATCATCATCAGCATCATCGTCATGATCGTCATCATCGTCAGCATCGTCATCATCGTCACCACCGTCGCCACAACCACCACCACCACCACCATCATCATCAGCATCAGCATCAGCATCACCATCACCATCAGCATCAGCATTACCATCACCATCAGCATCATCGTCACCTTCATCATAAACATCATCAGCAGCATCAGCGTCATCATCATCATCATCAGAATCATTAGCATCATCATCATCACCATTATCATCATCATAATCAACATCACCATCATCATCATCACCACCATCATCATCATCATCATCATCATCATCATCATCACTATCCGTAACCATTTGGCTCAAGCTAGCTGGCTCACGCTCGCTTGGGTCGGCAAATGGCGCGGGATCGCGTGGCCGCCGCCTCCGGGGTGATGGCTACGAGGAGCGGGCGCCCTGGCGCCGCGCGTCCTTCGAGGAGCCGAAGGAGCGCGTGCCTCGGCAGACCGCTTGGTGAGGCGCCTGAGCCATGAGCTGGAGGCTGCCCGCACGGAGTGCGCGAGGCTGCGGGCGGTGCTGGACCAGCGGGCTGCATGGGGTGAAGGCGGCGTCGAAGCAGAGGCTGCCCGCCGTGAAGCTCTAGCCAGGCCCTGCCTGGTGGCGAGGCTCAGCGGCGCGCCCGCGAGCGGTGGGAAGCGCTTGGTGCGGAACGTCTCGCTGCATGCGAAGCGTTGCCCGCAGGCTGGGGCTCCCTGGTCGGAGTGGAAGGCTGCGCAGCGCGAAGACCACCTGCCTGGTGGAGCCGCCGCTGCAGCAGCAAGGAAGTGCGATGTCGAGTGCGAGGTCATCATCTGCGAAGCGGAGGCGTCGCTCTTCAGGCATCGGTCGAGAATCTGCACGTGGAGCCGCAGGCCGAGGTGCTGCGACCTGGTGAGTGGCAAGGGTTCGGCGAGAAGCACATCGTGTGGGGAGCTGGGGCTTTCGAGGATGGCCTCGCGGCGGGTGGCGCCGTGCCGAGGCGTGCCCGCCCTGCGACGTTGGGGTGCTGATGCGTGAGCTGGGAGTGGCGGCCGCGAGGACCCCGCTGCGGTCTTGCGCCAAGCCGTACCTCAGTGAGAACGCAGCCGAGGCCTGCCTGCCCGAGACGGGCGCTGGAGCTGCGGAGGCCCGCGGGGCCGCGGCTGGTGTGGTGCCAGGACTGCTGGAGGCGGAAGCCGAGGCGGCCCAGGAGCCGCCGCTGCTCCTCCCCCCTCCGCCCGGCGACTCGGAGGCTGCCAAGGCCTGCACGGCCGCGCCGACGGCTGCCGCGAGCAGCGCCGTGGTCGCGGAGTACATGGCGGCCCACCCCGCGGCGCTCCTCAGCGGCGGCGACGGGGAGGAGCACGTCGACGAGATCGAGAAGCCTGTCGGCGTGTGTGGGGTGTCTGTCCGGTCCCGTCGACGGGGAGCCTTCTTTCGTCCCCTCCTTCCCATCCGTCGTCGATGTCTTTCAGGGTCGGAGGCACCTGCCGTCAGGCCTTCACAATCGAGAAGCCCACGTGCGAGGAGCATGAGGGGCAGGCAGAGCAGCAGGAGCCCGAGGCCATCGGGCTCGAGCTGAATGACGGGGAAGAGCACTCGGGCGCGCTGCGGGGAGCCATGGAGGTGCCCAAGGACGACGAGGACGACCAGAACGAGCTGGAGGCCCACGTGTCGGGTGACGGCGCGGGGGACGAGCAAGGCGGAGGTGCGCGGGCGTCGTGCAAGGAGCCGCCGAGCATCACCGAGGAGCCCACGTGCGAGGAGCATGAGGGGCAGGCAGAGCAGCAGGAGCCAGAGGACATCGGCTTCGAGCTGAACGACGAGGAGGAGCAGTTCGGCGAGCTGCGGAGCGTCATGGGGGTGCCCTCCAAGAACGACGAAGGGGAGAACTGCGACGGCGAGGAGTCAGTCCTGCCCCCGCCCGTTGGCGAGGGCGAGTTCTTCCTCGAGGTCGTCGACATGGAAGCGGTGGTGGCAGCAGCCACACGGCAATACGACTGCGTCGAGGCGCTGTGGGCCAACGGCATGCAGAGGTGGGAGGGTGACGCGGCTCATCGAGCGCTGATGGCACGGTCATCGAGCGCTGGCGACGCGTACATCGAGCACCTCATCGGCAAGGAGACGGATGCAGTCAGGGGTGCGACTGCTCGGAAACCCTATGGAGGGGGCCCAAAGACCCCGTGAGTGAGAGAAACAGTTACGGTGGGCGCGAGCGCTTCGGCTCCGACATTCCTTGGAGAGCGGGATCCTCATCATCATCATCATCAGCAGCAGCATCATCATCAGCATCATCACAATCAGCATCATCATCAGCAGCATCATCATCAGCATCATGACATCTTAATCGCCATCGCCATCACCATCATCATCATCATCATCATCATCATCATCATCATCATCATCAGCATAATCATCAGAATCAGCATCATCATCATCAGAAGCATCATCATCATCGTCATCGTCATCGTCATCGGCATCATCATCGACATCGACCTCAACAGCATCATCGTCATCATCAAACCCACCATCCTCATCATCATCATCATCATCATCATCAGCATCAGCATCACCATCATCATCATCAGCATCATCATCGTCATGATCGTCATCATCGTCATCATCGTCGCCACCGTCGCCACAACCACCACAACCACCACCACGACCACCACCATCATCATCATCATCATCATCATCATCATCACCATCATCATCATCATCATCACAATTATCAGCATCATCATCATCATCGTCATCATCATCATCATCGTCATCATCAGCATCGTCATCATCGGCAGCATCGTCGTCGTCACCACCTCCGCCATCATCATCATCATCGTCATCATCACTTCCATCACCAGCACCACCACCACCACCATCACCACCGTCATCATCATCATCATCATCATCATCATCATCATCATCATCATCATCATCACCATCATCATCATCGTCAGAATCGTCATCATCACCACCACTTTCACAACCACCACCACCACCACCATCATCAAACTCGGCGCCATCATCAGCAGCATTGTCATCGTCATCGTCATCAACATCATCGTCATCATTATCACCATGATCATCATCATCAGCATCGTGAGCATCGTCGTCAGCGTCATCATCATCAGCAGCATCATCGTCATCGTCGTCATAATCACCATCATCAACGTCATCATCGTTATCTCATCATCATTGTCGCCAGCATGGGCATCATCGTCATCAACGTCATCATCACCAGCACCATCATAAGCAGCAGCATCTTCATCATCACCACCCCAACAACCATCATCATCATCCTCATCATCATCGTCACCATCATCGTCATCATCGTCATCATCACCACCACCACAACCAGCATCATCATCATCAGCATCGTCGTCATCATCAGCATCATCATCATCGCCGTCATCGTCATCATCGTCATCATCACAATCGCAACCACCACCATGACCATCGTCGTTGTCGCCGTGCTCATCATCACCATCATCATCATCATCACCATCATCATCATCATCATCATCATCATCATCATCATTATCAGCATCATCATCGTAAGCATCGTCATCATCACCACCGTCACCATCACCACCACCATCGTCATCATCATCATCGTCATCATCAGCATCAGCAGCATCAGCACCATCATCGTCATCAGCATCATCGTCATCATCGGCATCATCACCACCACCAACACCATCACCATCACCATCATCATCATCACCATCATCATCATCATCATCATCATCATCATCATCATCATCATCATTGTCACCATTGTCATCATCATCATCATCATCATCATCATCATCATCATCACCATCACCACCATTACCATCATCATCGGCATCATCATCATCAGCATCATCATCTTCATCATCAGCATCGTCAACATCATATTCATACACCCTCTGCTTCCCCCCTTCCTCCTCCTCGAACAATCCTCCTCCACATCCTGCTCCTGGTCCTCCCTCATTCCCACTCCCCCTCCCTCCTCCTGGGGAAACCGAAAGGTATCGATACCGCTACCACCCTACTCCCCGGACCTCTCCTGGGGTGCGTTCTGACCAAAGTTTGAGGCGAATCCAGCGGTGGCGACGAGGGCCTCCTAGGAGGCCCAACAAGGGGGGAAAACGAGGGAAGGGTAGCGTTATGGGTACCTCCCCCTCCCCCCTCCCTTCTCCCGGGCGGGGCCCGGGGACCTTACTGGCCCTGGGCCGCGTCAGGACCTCGTTGTACGTCCTGGCCGCGCGCTTCGCGCACCGAACGCGCCACCGTGGGATGCAGCGCCCGCCACTCGGGGAAACCGCTTTCGCCCGCGGTCGCTTTCGCCCGCGGTCGCATGCGCCCGGTAGCCTTCGCCAAGTCGCTTTCGCCTGGTCGCTTTCGCCCGCGGTCTTTTCCGCCCAATAGTTAACCGTCGACGAGTAGGAGGAGGAGGAGGAGGAGGAGGAGGAGGAGGAGGAGGAGAAGGAGGAGGAGGCGCGCAGGCGAGGGCGACCGCCAGCGAAAGCGACCGCTGGCGAAGGCGACCCTGGCAAGCTGCGACCCCAGCGGAACCGACCCCAGCGGAAGCGACCCCGGCAATCGGCCGCCAGCGAACGCGACGGCTGGCAAAGGCGACCCCAGCGAAAGCGACCCAGGCGAAGACGCCTCAGGCGAAGGCGGCCGCGGGCGAAAACAACCGCTGGCAAAAGCAAGGAGGGCGTGAGAGCGGGAAAGGAACAGGGGGATGGCAAGGAGGAGGGGAGTGAGAGCGGAGGGGAGGAGGATAATAATGAGGAGGGGGAGGTGGGGGAGGAGGAGGCAGAGGAGGAATGGGGGAAGGCTAAGAATGAGGAGGAGAAGAAAGAGAAGAGGATGAAGAAGAGGAGGCGGAGGATGATGAAGAAGATGATGATGATGATAGTTATCAATCTCCTCCGTCTGATCATCACCACCATCGCCACCATAGCATCAACAATCCTCACCATCACCATCATCGTCGTCATTATCACCAACATCCTCATCAACACCCCTCCCTTGTAAGACACGCGGCCCCGGACCTCTCCAGGGCCCCAAGACGGCCCAAGAGGGCCCAGACAGAGCGCCGAGACAGTCCACATAAGCGCCGCGACGGCCCAAGGTAGCCCCACGACGGTCCCAGGTGGCTTCAAGACGGCCCACATTGCCTCCACGACAGCCCAAAAATGCTCCCAGAGGACCGCCGAGAGAGCCCCAATACGCAAACATCGTCCCACACCCTCAGGACAACGTACAGTTTTAGCATGCTCGCCTGCTTCGTCTTCACGGCGTCCACGACGGCCCAAGGGGGCCCCAAGATCGTCTCAAGACGGCCCACGAGGACCCCAAGACGGCCCTAGGGGCCCTCAAGACGGCCCCAGAGAGCCCTAAGAGGGATTCACGAGGGAGCCAAGAAAGGGAAGACGAGCTGACATTCCGAGCCCTTCCCCCCACGATGGGCCCCAGAGCCCCAAGAGGCGCCCCCAAGAGGACCTCTGGCGTCCCCAGAGGCCACAACAGGTGTTTGTTCTCCCACTGGTTCCTCACCCTCATATTCAATGTCGTGTTCTACTCCCCTCTCTCATATACATCATCATCCTCTTTATGCACGTCCTCATCGTTATACTCATCTCCCACCTCATTTTATATTCTTCTCCTCCGTCTCTCTTCTGTTTAGCTCGCACTCCTAATCCTCCTCCTTTTTCTCATTGGCTTGGGACAAGCGGCCCCACTCTCGACCCCGAAAAGGCGGCGGACATGCTGAAAGGCGCACGCGCAGACAAGCGAGGAGGGGGAGATGAGAGTCTAACTTCGCTTCACCCTCGCGAATCCGAGTTTGTCCTGTTCGCGTTCCTCGTATTCCCCTTTCCTATCTCTGTCGTAAAAGCTGCGGTATTATCCACGAGGCGTCCTACGACGCTGCCTAAGGGCCAAAACTACTTCGACTATAACTATTTTCCTCCTTCTCCTCCCACCTTCTCTGATGACACTCCTCCTCCTCCTCCGCCTCCTCCTCCTTTTCCTCCTCCTCCTACTCCTCCTCCTCCTCCTACTCCTCCTCCTCCTGCTCCTCCACCTCCTCCTCCTCCTCCTCCTCCTCCTCCTCCTCCTCCTCTTCCTCCATTGTTTATCTTTTCCTCACCACCTCCTCCTCCTCCTCCGTCGCCTACTATGACGTATGGTGCTCGTGGTCCTCGTCTGCCTTGATTCGTCTCGTCGTCGCCTTCTCGTCCTACTCCCCCCCTGTTCCCTTCGTTTCGCGCAAGTCCACGCGTCCCTCCTGCTGCTGGAGGGTGTCCGGGACACCTTCGCGCACCCAGCCAGCCCGATGCTGGACAGCCCGCGCGGCACACAGCAAAGTTCGCCCAGGGCCCAGACACCTGCAGCATCGGCAGAGCCAGGAACGTGCCCGACAGAAGCACGCCAGAGAGCACCCCATCAAGCTCCTGCCTGCGCGGCGCGCCGTCTCCGCGCGACACTGCTGCCTCGCATCCACTTTCATCTGGCGGCGAGCGAGGGGGGGAAATGAGAAGGAGGCCTTGTCGGAAGGCGGCGGGACTTCTCAGAAGCCCTCGCGCCTTCTGAGAGGTCTTTTCTGCCTTCGGGGAAGGCTTGGAAGACTTCTCATAAGGCTTTCCGAGACTTCTGAGAAGGCCCGCCCCTTCTCACTTCTCCCCCTCGCTCGCCGCCGATTAATTTCAATGGGTGCGAGACTCCAACAATTTCAACTTTCCCTCCCGAGCGACGAGTGCGCCATGGCTCCCGCCCTCATACATGCATCCCCGAGGCTCCCGACGCACAGGCCAAGCACGGGGCCACGATTCTTGACGACTTCACCGTTATGGGGGTCGGCGGAATGGCGTGGGTCTATTGCACGACTCTATATCGTCGAACCATCATTTTTTGCGTCGGCGGCTAGGCAAAGCAACTGCGCTGGCGGAAGGGCTAACTAAACGGGGGCACTGTTGCAGCGAATTGTGCCACAATGCAAGAGAGAGGGAAGCCGGGGAGGGCGGGCGGCCGAAGGGGCGGAGGACAAAAAACGATGGCCGCTCAGGGGGACGGGTCACGCCGGTCACGCCCGGAGCGAGTGGCGCGGCCGGACGAACCACCAAGCATGTCGGTATGGCGGGCGCCGATTCTGGCGATGAAACTTAACATTCTCAAACATGTGCAAGGACAGAGGGCGGGCCGTTCTCTAAATGTGGTTTTCCCAATAGCGTCGCGCACGTTCGCCTTCGAATCTTCGAACGGGTACATGGACGGAGAAAGGGTGTTGTTTCGAATAAGTGTGTATTGTATTAACGCCGCGCGCATCCGCTCTAACGCGTCAAAGGCTTCATGGACGAAGGGCGGATGGCCTTCAAAACGTGGTTCTCGCCCACTGCACCGCACAAATTCGCCTCAAAAACTACATTTACAAGGATGGAGCTTGGCCCCTTTGAAAATACGGTTTTCGCCTCAACGCCGCGCACGTTTGTCGAAAAAACGTACAGCAACTACGGATATCGAAGGCAGTTTTTTCATCATAGGACTCTCGCTTGTTCGTTCGTTATAACAAACATCGGAAAGATGCGGGAAGTCCAGGGCGGGTAACGGCCCAATACAACAAAAAGATGCTGTCTCTTGACAACTCCTCCGCGCTTAAAGCCAACGTTCTCGAATTCAACACTTAAAAGAATGGAGGGCGGTCGTTTTTCAAAACGGGACTATCGGTAGGTATTTCCTCGAATTCTATGGAAGGACGGGGGCAAGGAAAAAGGCCAATACTCGTGGCCCCCGGGTCGGAACGCACATGTTGGAGATGGCGAGCGGAAGCGGCCTCCCATATCCCGCTCCCCCATTCCCCCCTTCCGGGCGATTGACGTATTATCCATGGCCCTGCTCACGCTCCGACCCCACGAGGGGCCAAAGCGGCGGCACGGGTAAAGTCCCACCAGCCCTTTAGTGCGTGAGTGGTTTAGAGCGCTTCCTACTCCAACCCCCCTGTTTCCGCTTGGGGGAGAGGCTTCCCCTCTCACTACCCCCTCACCCTGGACCTGGACGGGGGGAACCGTGGGTCGTTAGACCGTCCAAAACAGGCGGCGAAGATGCCAAAATCATTGATGTTACTCAGACGTTGGCAACATTTGGGCCTCCTGGGTTGGGGGGTGGAGGGCGTAAATGGACCCTCCCCCTTCTTTGATCGATAGCTTCGAAGATGGTTCCAAGATGGCCCCCGAGACCCCCAAGGGTGCCCCAAGACAACCCAAAGACGTGCCCGGGAGGCCCCAAGAGGCCTCCACGATGCCCCCAATATGCCCCCAAGAGGCTCCACGAGGCCCCCCCAGAGGCACCCAAGACGCCTCCAGAGCCCCCGGGACTGCCAAAAGATCATCATCCTCATCCTAATCATCATCCTCATATTTGTCCTCCTCCTCTTCCTCGTCCGCCTGTTATTTTTCCTTCCTCCTCCCCCCCCATCGCCCTCCTCTTCCCCCCCCTCCCCCCCCTCCCCCTCCTCCTCCTCCTCCTCCTCCTGTTCCTCCTGCCCCTCCTCCGATGTCTCCTCCATCCTTCCCCTCTTGAGGTACGACGTCTTACCCAGCCCTTTATTCCACTGCATTCTCTTCCATATCCCTGACCTAGGCAACTCGTCTGGGCATCGCTTCTGGATGGGCCGGTGGGTTGTTGTTTTGATCGCGACCGCGGCGAGGAAAATGTCGGGCGGCGTCAGAAGGCGGCGCAAACAAGCAGCGGCCTAAATTGGCGCAGAGGAAGAAGAAAGGCGAAGAGCAAAGATCGAGAACGAACAGGGGAGACGGACAGCAGGCGGACCTCACAGCCGCTCAGGGCGCAGGCACCAGGAGGAACTTCTGGGGGTCGTGCAACACCACGAGGTAGTTCAAGAAGCCCACGATCCAGATGCGGAAGACCGTCGCGATGAACAGCACGCCGTGGACACAGCCAGGAACCATCGCAATCACGGCGACCCTCGACACGAGGAGGGGCAGGACGCGCGCGCGCCCAACGGAAAATCCGGATCGCCAAACACCAAAATGGTGCGCAGGACGGTGGGCGCGGTGGGAAGCCCAGATCCGGCGACGAATCGGAAAAGGCCAGAGGCCCGATCGCGGGGGGACGCCGAAAAGGCTGAAGGGCGGCGGCCGGCAGACGCCTGGGGGCACGAAGCACGACCCAGGGAGGGAGCGACGAGGGGGAGGACCAGGTGTCCGTCTACACCAAGCGGGAAGAAGAGGCGGCAGACTCAAGGCTGGTTGGGTTACTTTTTTTTACAGCCGCGGGCGGAAGCGCCAGCGGCGGCGAGTAACGGTCGGGCTGCGGCCGAAACTGATTGGCCGGACGCGCGCGCGGGCCCGGCTGGTTGGGTTACGCGAAGCATCTAGAATCTTAGCCTCTGGGGGCGGCAGCATCAGGGGTATGGATCGAGCGACGATCGTCGACCTTCTTCCCAATCCGCCCCAACCTCTCCCTCCTCTGTGACCCCCGGAGGTCTCGAGCACCTCCTGGGAACCAGTTTTTCATCACGAGCCGTTGTCTGACGGTCCTGGGGCCCGATGAGGTGCCCTGGACTTTTGTCCTGGTGACTTTTGTCTTGGAGGTCGAAGATGGTAAAACCAAAATCAAAAACCACACGCGTTGATTTTTCCTCACGGCGCGGTCAGGTCTAGCACCCCCCCCCGTCGCTCTCTCTCTCTCTCTCTCTCTCTACTCGCTCCCTTTCCCTCCCAGGAGGGCAGGAATTCGTCAGCATCGCTCTGGGACATCCAACCGAATCGAAGTGTGCATCGAATCGAGCCGCATCGGTACGGAGTCAGAATCGAATCGATTCGGCCGCGCCAAGATGCAAAGCAGCGCCGTGCAAGCATCGGGCCGCACGCATCGGGTCGTCGGAATCTCGGAATCGAATCGGGTCGGGCCAGCCGAAATCGATACCGAAACGAATCGATCGGATCGAAATGGTGGACCCTAAGGAGAGGGGGGGTGGGCGAGGGGATCGTCCTCAGCTCCTCTTGGAGGCCGTGGGAGGCGGCGCGGCCCATCTTGACCAGGCCCTGGGCGCCGCGCGGGCGCCCACGCGACGGCGAACGCCGCGCGGTGCTAGCGCACGGGGTCTGCGAGGCGCTCGCACTCCGCGTCCACATCCTTCCCCTTGGATCTGGCAGCGCGCACACCAAAGGGGGGGGGTCCTGAAGCGGAAAAGCATCTCAAGAGGCGGGGCGCTCTCAGGAGGGGCTGGAGGCTTCTGGGAAGCTTTCTCGGGAGCCTCCCCAGAGGTCCGATGCCTTGACCTGCTCAATGCAGGTCCCCAGAAGTCCCAACCTCCTCCCTGGGGTTGGCTTTTCACCCTGAGTGGTTTTGGTTACGGTCTCGGAGCCCGGTGAGGGCCCCCAGAGGTCGAAAACGGCAAGGAACATCCGTCTTGAGTGTTTCTATACGCTGCAGGTCTGAGCCTGGGCCCTGTTGAGACGGCCTCTGCCTTTTGACAAAGCCCCCCGCCTTCTCAGAGGGCAGCCCCTCTCGCACGAGCCTCCTTTGCGCGCGGCCGACAGATGTTGTCGTCGAGGGGGAAGGGACGGGCGGTCTCTACAGGTTTCTCGGGCCCCTGGGTAGGAACTAGACAACGATACAGGTCCGCATGTCGCTGCACTGTTTGTTCTCGACGCGCCCGATTGGACGAAGCCGGCACCGCGGCACACCCACGGCAAGCCTTGCGTCCGAGGCGGAATTTGCCGTGCTGGCCGAGGCGCCCTCCCCAAGACGTAAGGCCGCGCGTCGGAGCAAATGGCGCGGCGACATCATATCCTTGTTTCTCTCTCCCCCCTCATCTGATTGGTGTCCTCCTTCCTGGGAGGGGGGCGGGGAAAAAACGGAGTGGAACTGTGGAACTGTTCTACTCCGACTGGGGCGCTCGCGGATTCATCCGGCTCGAGGGACGCCGCGCAATGCACGGGGTCGAAAACTCTGGTCGTGATAATCCACGGCGCCGTGCTTTTGCTTTCGCGACGTCGGAACCCAATGTCCGAGGGGGTGCGATCTACCGTCGCTTGACTGGGAAAATTCCCCCCCCATCTCTGGAACACCAGAAGAGAGGGGGGTCAAACTTCCCACCCCCTCCCCAAGAACCGAAGGGAGGGGGGGGAGCACCCCCCCTGCCCGGAAACCCGGGAGGGGGGGGAGCACACTAAAAAGCCCCCCGCCCCCAGGTTCGAATCAGGGGAAGGGGGGGCCCTGCCCAAAACCGGAAACTGGGGGGGGGAGGAGGCGGGACGGGACAATCACCTCCCAGCCCGAAATTCGAACCGATTTTGAGAGTTGTTGGAGCATTGTTTGAGCTTTGCCTCAGCTTTGTTTGAGCTTTGTTGGAGCATTGCGTGATCTTTGTTTGAGCTTGGTTGGACCTTTGTTTGAGCTTTGTGGGAGCTTTGTGTGAGCTCTGCTTGAGCTTTGTTTAATTTTTGTTGGAACTTTGTTTGAGTTCTGTTTGAGCTGTGTTTGAGCTTCATTTGAGATTTGGCTGAGCTTTAGTTGAACTTTGGTTGAACTTTGTTTATTGTGAATGACCTTTATCTGACCCGTGTGTTAGCTTTGTGTGAGCTTTGTTGGAAACTTGTTGGAGCTTTGTTGGAGCTTTGTTGGAGCTTTGACGGAACTTTGTTTGAGCTGCTTTCGTTGAGCTGTGTTTTCGTTTCGTTTGAGATTTGTTTGAGCTTTGGTTGAGCTGTGTGTTGAGATTCGTTTGAGCTGTGTTGGAGCTTTGTTGGAAACTTGTTGGAGCTTTGTTGGAGCTTTGTTGGAGCTTTGACGGAACTTTGTTTGAGCTGCTTTCGTTGAGCTGTGTTTTCGTTTCGTTTGAGATTTGTTTGAGCTTTGGTTGAGCTGTGTGTTGAGATTTCGTTTGAGCTGTGTTGTTGGAGCTTTGTTGGAGCTTTGTTGGAGCTTTGACGGAACTTTGTTTGAGCTGCTTTCGTTGAGCTGTGTTTTCGTTTCGTTTGAGATTTGTTTGAGCTTTGGTTGAGCTGTGTGTTGAGTTTCGTTTGAGCTGTGTTTGAGCTTTGTTGGAGCGCGGTTGGAGCTTGTTTGAGCTTTGGTTGAACTTTGTTTGAGCTTTGCTGGAGCTCGCTTTGAGCTGTGGTGGAGCTTTTATTGAACTGTGGTTGAGCTTTAGTTTGAGCTGTGTTGAGCTTTGTTGGCGCTTTGCTTCAGCTCTGCTGGAGCTTTGTTTGAGATGTGTTTGAGCTTTGTTTGAGCTTTGTTTGAGATGTGTTGGAGCTTTGCCTGAGCTTTGTTGGAGCTTTGGTTGAGCTTTCTTGGAGCTTTGGTTGAGCTTTGTTGAAGCGTTGTTGGAGCTTTGTGTGAGCTTTGTTGGAGTATTGGTTGAGCCTTGTTGTAGCTTTGGTTGAGCTTTGCTCGAGTTTTGCTTGAGCTTTGCTGGAGCTCGTTTTGAGCTCTGGTGGAGCTTTCTTGAGCTGTGGTTGAGCTGGGATCCCGACCCCTTCCTGGGGCTGGCTTTTCGTCCTGGGCCGTCCTTCGACGGGTTTGGGGCTCCGAAACAACCCCAGACGCCCCGAAAGCGCCGAAGAGCCAGCCGTCACTGCTGTTTGCGACGCCTGGATCTGAGATCTGAGGGTCGATCCTCGTCCACCCCAACCCCTGACCTTCCAGAGTACTCAGAAGATTGCTTCCAAGACTCACACGCACACCAAGACAGCTCAAATAAATCCTCGACTTGGATTTCAGCTCAAGCGTCCCCGCGTTGTTCTGGCTACCCCCGTGGAAGGAAGGTCCGGTAGGAGCCCCCCCCGCCTTCTCACAGGCCTTCTCGGAGGCCCCCCGCCCCCCTCCTTGGAACGCAGAGGGGCACGGGATACACCAATACTGTGCGCCCGCCTCGGAGGCGTCCGCACCGAGCATGTAGTACAAACAAGCTACTGTGGTATAGTGTAGTCTAGTGTAGAACATGCTATTACATTGTAATATATTGCAGCACTGTCGTATTACTACAAAGTTGTAGCACAGCGTAGTAGTGTATTGCATTATACGACAAGCGGGCTACATAGTTGTACTATTACGGTACAATGCTCGGTGCTTCCCCCGTGGAGCGCCGAGCGTTGTAGTATATTGTTGCACAAGGGGTATGGCCCGAAAATGCCCACCACCGAACACACACCATAAGACTATTGAGCGCGCGCGCGTCGCCCCTGGGGTGCCCACACACACACACACACACACACACACACACACGCACGCACACACACACCATCAACAACAACAACAACAACAACAACAACAACAACAACAACAACAACAATTACTAGCACGTGGGGACACTCCGTTCTCACCAGTGCCAGGGTTTTCATAGGAGGCGGGCAATACCCCCACTTTGTGGGGGGGCCGGTTCAAGCTCTACCAAATTTCCAAACGACTCTTCGCCACCACCCACACCCAGCTTCCCGCCCTATGACGTTCGGACACTTCACTTCGTGGCATGCGGACGACCGTGGCTACTATTCAGGGCCCCGCGGCCGACGACGACGGCGTGCGCGCGCGAAGAAAAAACGAATGTGTCCCGCATGGTATTATTTGACAGGGATGATGGCCCTGGCAGGTGCGCAACCGTTGTTGCAGAAGTTCGAAAAAGTTGCTCGCAAAAGCCCGTTTGACAGAAATGTTTAAAAAGTGTTGGGTTTCCTACGAATCCGCAAGAGCGCGCGGGATGAAATTTTGACATAAAAAAGAGAAAACAACAAAAAAAAAAAAAACAAAAAAAAAAAAAAAAACATTGGTGTTTTGATGTTTTTATGTTAAAATCGCTACGAAAACTAAGGTTTTGGAAGGATTTCGTCTTGCGCGCGCGAATGTCCACTTTACCTTATTTTTTGCAAGGGATTCTTGAAGTTTGGTTATGTTAGAACAAGAAATGTCCACTTTAGCTTATTTTTTGCAAGGGAAAACCGATCGTAACAACACAACCGGATCTGGACACATCGTTTTGCCTGAGACTTCCTCACGAAAATGATGAAAATGAGGCTGCGGCCTAGGCGCGGCGGGGGGGCCATGCACCAGGGGTCCCAACAATAATTATTCTTAAGAAGAAATAATGTTCAACAACAACAACAACAACAACAACAACAACCACAACCACAACCACAACCACAACCACAACCACAACCACAACCACAACCACAACCACAACCAACAACAATAGCAATAACAAAACAACAACGACAACAACAACAACCGCAACAACAACAACAACAACCACAACCACAACCACAACCACAACAACAGCCACAACCACAACCACAACAACAACAATCAGTTTAAGACTGTACGCTCGTATCTGCCCGAGTGTCATTTAACGTGTATTCCCCAAACCCTCGATACCCGCCCTCTTCGTCTTCGATCGTAACCCCTTCTGGGGGGTATATCTTTCTTCCCTGCAGGCCGGGCCCCGGCAAGCGGCGGGGCGGCCGCGGACCGTCGGCCTGGCCAGCGGCAGCGCTGATCGGCGGCAACCCGACCCCAAGAGGGACGGACAGGGGACCGACCACGACGACGACGACGACGACGAGGACGACGACGACGACGACGACGACAAGGACGACGACGACGACGACGAAAGCGAGAGCGAGAGCGACAGCGACAGCGGGGCCACGAAGGGCAGGAAGGGGACCACGAAGGGCGACAGCGGGGCCACAAAGGGCATGCATATGGGGCCACGACGGTCGCGAACGAGCGGGAGCCACGAAAGGCAGATAATGCGGGGCCACAGAGGGCCACGACGGGGCCACTGAGGGTAGCAACGGGGCCACGAAGGGCAGCGAGGGGGCCACGAAGGGCGACAGCGGGGCCACGAAGCGCAAGCATACGGGGCCACGATGGGCGCGAACGAGCGGGGGCCACAAAGGACATACGTATATTGGGCCGCAGAGGGCAAAGACGAGGCCACTGAGGGCAGCAACGGGGCCACGAAGGGCAGCGAGGGGGCCACGAAGGGCGACAGCGGGGCCACGAAGCGCATGCATATGGGGCCACGACGGGCGCGAACGAGCGGGGGCCACGAGGGGCATACATAGATGGGGCCACGACGGGCAGCGAGGGGGGCACGAAGGGCTGCAACGGGGCCACGAAGGGCAGCGAGGGGGGCCACGAAGGGGTGCAACGGGGCCACGAAGGCGAGGGGGCCACGAAGGACTGCAACGGGTCCACGAATGGCAGCGAGGGGGCCACGAAGGGCTGCAACGGGTCCACGAAAGGCAGCGAGGGGGCCACGAAGGGCTGCAACGGGGCCACGAATGGTAGCGAGATCCCGATTCCAAAATAAGCTGTGAGGGAGTCCCAAGCGTGAGCACGACTCCGGCGTGCCTGAGTGTTGGAAGCGCGGCGCTTGAGTAAATTGCGGGGGATTCCAACGCAAGAGCGCGATTCTTGAGTAAATTTCAAGCAAGTCTCCGGCGAGAGCGCGACCCCAGAGCGCCGAGAAAGCGATTCCTGAATAAATGGCAAGGAAGTCCCAAGCGACAGCACGATTCCTGAGTAAAACGCGAGGAAGTCTCAGGCGCGAGCGGGGGTCCTGGCTAAATTGTAAGGAAGTCTCAGGCGGGAGCCGTTGTTGTAATCCGGGGGCCAACAACACAATTTGAGCCAAGCGATTTTCCCTGATCAAAGCCGGGTGCGAGCCCCATGGGAAGCACGTCAATTGGAAAACACAATGATCACCAATAATGAGTTCAACAACAACAACAACAACAAAAATAAAAACGACAACAACCTCAACAACAACCTCAACAACGACAACAACAACAACAACAACAACAACAACAACAACAACAACAACAACAACAGCAGCAGCAACAACGATAACAACAACAGCAGCAGCAGCAGCAGCAACAACAACAACAACAACCGTAAGCATGCCTGGGTGATGCCGACCTCTGAGAAACCCCCTCTGCCTTGTTTCATGCAGGCTGAGGAAGGAGGTCCTCACCATAAGCATGTCTGGGTGGTGCCGAACTCTGAGAAATCCCCTCTACCTTGTTTCAGGCAGATTGAGGAAGAAGGTCCTCGAGCTTTCTGCATGCCACTCCCCCCCCCAAGCCAGTCAGACTCCACGCCACGGGGCCACGTGCAATATAAAAACAGGCACGCCCCGGGGAGGAAATTTTTGCACACCAAACCCACGACCAGGACCCTCGCCCACCCCGCAGGGGCTGCTGGGCATGGTGCACCGGCCTTTCGGGCGGAGACGGCACATCGCCCCCAGGCGCCCCCCGAGCGCCCCCACAGCGCTCCCAGGGCGCCCCACGCGCCCTCCCTACCCCGCTGTCCCAGAGGAGGCCCCCTCGTCCCGCACGCTCCGCCCCCCGGCGTGCTGGCGGGCGCCGCCTGGATCTTGGCCTTGGAGGAGAGCACGGGGGTCCTGCGGGCCGACGAGGGCGCCGGCGCCCGGGGACACACCAAGAGACAGACGTCAGTCCCTGGACTCCAGAAATGGCTCCATGTGCTGTCTGGAGTGTCTTCTTCCCCTCCACGCCCCATGTCTTCCCGCATGCTCCTGGGAATCGACGCTTATTTGTGCCTGTGTGCTTTTCCCTTCCTGAGAGTGCGCCGACGGCGCGCGCGCGCGACAGGGGGATGGGGACGTCCGCTCATCGGCCGAATAGGCTCCGACACCGAATAGGCTCGGAGCGTGTTGCTAAGGCGAGCGAACGAACAGCTGCTCTCTGGAGGCGCTTTTGAGACCAGGGCCCGGTGCAGCCGGGAATCTGTGGAACGCGCGGGGAAAAGCTGGGCGAGTCGAGACCAGCGAGCCGAGGATCGAAGGAAGAAGAGGGGAAGCAAGAGAAGGCGGAGGAGGAGGAAGGGGGATAAAATCCTGCATAAGGATCGAATCTTGCTCCATCCCTCGAAGGCTACCTCCTGTAGGGTCCCGAAACCCTGAGATCCTGGCGCCGCATTGTTTCATAGCGGGCGAATTTGCATTGTCGGGTCCTGGGACCCCTGGATCGAGCTGGTCGGAAAAAGACAGCGGAAAGATGAACTTCAGGGCTCTGGTCTAATTTTCCTACGATGCTGCACTTTTCGGGGGCGCGCAAACATGGACTAGCGACCGATGGATTTGGCGCGCGGTCGCCAAATCCATGGATCGGGGAAAATGGCCCGCCCCAACATGCAGCCAATGCCGCCTCGTTCGGCGGCGGAGATCCGCGATTTCCAATGGAAACGGGACCCGATGCTAATTCACGCCCCCTTGATCCATGTTTGCGATCGCCTGATTTGTTTGTGACCTCGGATCTCGGGGATGCGGTGACAGACTGCGCGGTGACCTCGGAATCCCCCCCGAGACCTCACCGCACAGCTGGAGGAGGAGCAGTCGCGATCCCATAGGACGACGCGCCGAGTTCGCTTCGGGACGGGCAAGAGCGGCAGGAAAAGACGAAAGAGCGCAATCGAGCACAGAACGAATGCGGGTCCCAGGACATGCTAGCCCAGCCGAAGCATCACGGCAGTGACAGGAGGTCCCACGAAGAAAGCCCAGTGTCGACCAAGCCGAAATCCCAGGACACGAAAAACGGGTTTTCGAAGCAAAACTCGACGAATATGGATTACATGGAAAGCAAGCTTAACCACTGGACGGCATCGTCTGTGACCAGGAGCCTGCGAGGGAGGGGAAGAGGAGGGAAACGTCCTCCTTTAGGGTGGACGCCCTTCATAAAATCATCCCGCCTCCACTTTCGCTGGGGGATTCCCTTCTATGGCAGCCTCGGGATCACAGGTCCAGAAGAGCTGTGTGCGTGCCGTCCTGGCCGAGAAAGCCCCGCACTTGCTACAGCCCACAATGTCCCCAGAAATATACAAGACATGCCCCCTCGCGGAACTGGGCGGGACCTCCCCAGACCCCGGCAGAGGTTCCAGGGGAGGGCCCGCGTCCGCCAGCGAGGGCGGCGCTGCACGAAGTCGCCTCCGCGACCGCACCAGCGAAGGCCTCCTGAGGGCCCGCAGGGGCCCCCGAGGCCTCCGAAAAACGCACCTTCTTGCGCCGCAGGAGGAGGAGGAGGAGGAGAAAGACCAGTGTAAACCCAAGAGTCACCAAAGATGTTGGAATAAACCCTCCTCCAAGCTCCCTCTCCATAAGCTCCTACATCCTACAACGGTTCATTTCCATCGAAAGAAATGCCTCGTTGGAAGACAACCGCTTGAAGACCCTGAAGCATGCCAAAACATTGTTCTCGGGATTCCATCGCCACGGATCAACCTGACTGTTGCGTTTTGACGATCCGGAATCGTGCCAGAACGCCGTTCTTAGGACTTCAACACCGCAAAACAACGTAACCACTGCACCCGAAAAATCCATAATCCTTCCCAAATACTATTCATTGCACTTTGATCATGGAAATCCGTGAAACGCCTGCAGAGTGTTAAGACGAATGCGCGCGGCGCTAAAGCGAGAACCACATTTTGAAAACCACCCGCCCTAAAGCAGTGAAAAAAAGGAGAAGAAACAAAAAAAAAAAAAAAAAAAACGCGCGGCGCTCAAGCGAGAACCACAGCTTGAAAACCACCCGCCCTCAACCCGTGAAACTATTGCAAATGTTTACAACGAATGTGCGCGGCGCTATGGCGAAAACAACATTTTGAAAACCATCCGCCCTCAATCCGTGAAACTCTTGCAAATATTGAAAACGAATGTACGGGGCGCCAAAGCGAGAACCACAGTTTGAAAACCACCCGCCCTCAACCCGTGAAATTCGTGCAGACGTTTACAATGAATGCGCGCGGCACTAAAGCGAGAACCACATTTTGAAAACCACCCGCCCTCTATTTGTGAAACTGCTGTCAGCGGTTAAGCTTCAGGGCCAGAAATGGTGAGGAAATTTCAGGCGACATGCCCGGCCCGCCCTAAAGACTCTGGCCTCGGGGTGCGACCGGGAGAAGTTACTTATAAGGAAAAGGAAAAAAGAGGAGGAGGAGGAGGAGGAGGAGGAGGATTGTTTTTTGTCATCAACATGCTGAGGGTCTGCCAACGAATCGGAACCCGACGAAACTCCATCGGATCCGATTTCCTCCTCCGCAACCGAAACAGCCTCCGCGCGGAGGACGGCCCCAGGCAGCGTGAATCGCATGCGTGCTCACGAATGCGGAAGAGGAAGATGAGGCAGGTCGGGAAAGGGGGCCGAGGTGCACAAGATGCACCAGCCACACTGGGGGCTGCGGCAGCCGCCCCAGAAGAGCCCTCTTCACGGGAGGACGAGCCAACGCGCGCACAGGATGCGGCAAGGAGATGGCCCACTGGGCCATCAGAGAAGGCACACGCCGCCCCCTCGCGGCCGCCGCTGCAAGAACAGGGACACCAGGCCGAGAGCCTGATGCGTCCCCAGTGGGAGCGCCTGCAGAAGATGAACCTCCCCCACCGCCAGACTCCACGACGACGGCGGCCTCCACCTCCAAGACAGACGGCGCGGTGGCAGCAGCATTGAAACACGACCAGGGCCCACGCTCGACTGTGATCCCTGGGCGGTTAGGGCGGCGCCCCTTGCACATCGGACTCCAATTCCCATACTTGGCGGCCCTGGTCGGACCGAGGCAAAGCTTGCCTAGGCCAGCCACCCTGCCACGAGAAGAGTAGCAGCAACAGCCTGGGCAGGCAACAAGCTCAGCGTTGTCCGAGCACGAAAGACCGATGCCGCGAGACCCCTGCCCCGCCAGGACAGCGGGGAAGCGGGAAAGAGACGGGCGACAGACAGGGGAGGAGCGGATAGAACCCGCGGCGGGGGAGCGGCAGACTCTCCCACACGGACTGCATTTCCAAATGCCAGGGAAGGAGGCGATCCCTGGCAGGCTGAATGATGGCCCACTGACACCTGACACGGATTTGCTTTGGAGCTGGCTGGGGTCCGTGATACTCGGCCACCCCCCCAAGTCTAAACGTGGCCAGGACGGAAGAAGGCGAGCCCGCGGATGGCCCCCTGCCGCAGATGATGGCGCGCGGCACGCGTGAGCCCGGCCTCGCGGGCTGGCCGATGCGCGATGCACCCTGCCACCGCGATCGATCGAGCGGCAGGCGCGACCGACCCCGATGGATCGATCGGGATCCGCGGGCCCGCCAGAAGCCAATTGGGCTTCTCCTCCTCCTCCTCCTCCTCCTCCTCCTCCTCCTCCTCCTCCTCCTCCTCATCCTCCTCCTCCATTCCTTCCCCTTATAAGTAACTTTTGCCTGTCGCACCCCGAGTGCAGTTTTTAGGGCGGGCTGGGCGTTTTGCCTGAGACAGACGTCCCCACCTTTTATGACTCTGAAGCTTAAAAAGTGGCACCAGCTTTACAGATGGAGGGCGGATGGTTTTCAAAATGTGGCTCTCGCCTACGTGCCGCGCACACTTGTTTCAAAAGATTGCAAGAGATTCACGGCTTGAGGACGGGTCGTTTTCAAAATGCGGCTCTCGCCTTAGCGCCGCGCACATTGGTTCAAAAACTTCCAAGAGCTTCACGGATTGAGGGCGGGTCGTTTTCAAAATGTGGCTCTCGCCTTCGTGCCGCGCACACTCGTTTCAAAAGATTGCAAGAGATTCACGGATTGAGGGCGGGTCGTTTTCAAAATGCGGCTCTCGCCTTAGCGCCGCGCACATTGGTTCAAAAACTTCCAAGAGTTTCACGGATTGAGGGCGGGTCGTTTTCAAAATGTGGCTCTCGCCTTAGCGCCGCGCACAGTCGTTTTAAAAAAACACAAGAGTTTCACGGATTGAGGGCAGGTAGTTTTCAAAATGTGGTTCTCGCCTTAGCGCCGCGCACGTTCATTTGAAAAGTTTGCAAGAGTTTCACGGATTGAGGGCGGGTCGTTTTCAAAATGCGGCTCTCGCCTTAGCGCCGCGCACATTCATCCAAAAACTTCCAAGAGCTTCACGGATTGAGGGCGGCTCCTTTTCAAAATGTGGCTCTCGCCTTAGCGCCGCGCACCTTCGTTTAAACAAATATAATAATTTCACGTCTTCCCATGATCAACGTATTAGCAATGGCGTTCAGGATTATGAGGGTGCAACAGTTGTTTGATTCGCTGTGTCGGAGTCCAAAATGGCGTTCTGGCACGATTCTGCGTCGTCAAGACGCAGCAGCCAGGTTAATACGTGGCGATAAAATCCCGAGAACATTGTGAGAACATTGTTTTGGCACGCTTAAGGATCTTCAACTGTTGCCGTCCAACGAGGCAGTTCCCTCAATGGAAATGAATGAACCGTTGCAGTGGCCTATGAAGAGGGAGCTTGGAGGGAGGGTTGATTCCAACATCGTTGATGACTCTTGGGTTTCCACTGGTCCTCCTCCTCCTCCTCCTCCTCCTCCTCCTCCTCCTCCTCCCCCTCCTCCTCCTCCTGCTCGCCGCGGTCCCCAGGCACGTGGCGCTTCCACCGAATTCGGTGCGTGGGCCCCTGGGCCTCTCGACTCTCGACCCCTCCCCAGGATGGGTCTTCACGACGAGTAGTTCGTTTGACAGTCCGGGAGCCGAAAACCAGCCTCCAGAGGCAGAAACAGTCAGCACCGAATCGATAAATCGGATCGGATCGAGACGTGCATCGCACCGGGCCGCATCGGCACGGAATCGGAAACGAATCGAGTGGGCCGCGACAGGACGCACGGAAATGTCACGCAAACATCGGTTCCCGTCGGATCTTCGGAATATCGGAAACGAATCGGGTTGGCGGATCGATCGGATCGGCATGGACCCTGAGAGACTAAAAATGACGACGCACCAGCCGCAGCCACCCTGATTTGTTCGAGGCGTCGGACGTCGTCGCCGCCGTCGTCCTCCTCGTCCTCGTCCTCGCCATCGCCAGGGGCGGCCGCAGGTCCGGTCGCAGGCCGGGTGTAGAAGGAGCAGCAGGTTGAGGTTCATGTCCTCGCGACTCAGTGCGCTGGCTGGGCGAAACTCATCCCGTCGATTCCTCCTCCTCCTCCTTCTCCTCCTCCTCCTCCTTCTCCTCCTCCACCACCACCCATTCCCTTCCTCTCCTCCCCCTCCTCCTCCTCCTTCTCCTCCTCCTCCTCCTTCTCCTCCTCCTCCAGCACCACCCATTCCCTCCCTCTCCTCCTCCTCCTCCTCTCCTCCTCCCTACTCCTCCTCCTCCTCCTCCTCCTCCTCCTCCCCCTCCTCCTCGCGAAATGAATGGCCGTGGCCTTGTAGGGTGCTGCCCTGACGGGCCTATAGCCTCAGCCCCCACGAATCGCAGCGCCGTCCTATCGGGAACACGCCAGCCTGAGAAGGGGGAGGGCGTCCTCGTTGACCTCGCCGCCCCCCCCGTCGGAAGAGCTGAAGGAGTTTGGGGCGGAGCACTTTGAGGCATCAAATTCGAGCCAACCCGAAACGGGCGGGTCCCGCGAGCCCTCTGGCGGAAGGCCTCAAGAGGCCAGCCCTTCTGGAGGCTAGAGCTCGACGAGAGCAGGGGCCAGTGTGCCCGCTCGCTGGGATTCAAATCGGCATGACGCCCTTGTGGCTGGGTCCCGCCTCCTCCTCCTCCTCGCAATCGCAATCGCAACAATGGGTCAAGGCGAGCAGACCACTAGAGCAAGCTAAAGGGAGCACAGCTCAAATCCAACCAGGGAGAGGGGGAGGGAGCTCCGCCGCCTCCTCCTCCTCCTCCTCTTCCTCCTCCCGCCCTCCCTCCCTCCCTCCCTCCTCCTCCATTCCTTTCCCTTAGAAACAACTTCTCCCTGTCGCACCCCGAGGTCAATTTTTCGGGCGGGCCGGACGTTTCGCCTGAGACTTCCCCACCACGTATGACCCTGAAGCTTGAAAATCGGCATCAGCTTCACAGATGGAGGGCAGGTAGTTTTCACAATGTGGCTCTCGCCTCAGAGCCGAGCACCTTCGTTTCACAAAATTACTAGAACTTCACGAATTGATAGAGGGTGGTTTTCAAAATGTGGCTCTCGCCGTAGAGTCGCGCACATTCGGATTGAAAAATTGAAGGAGCTTCACAGATGAAGGGCGGCAGGTTTTCAAAATGTGGCTCTTTCCTCAGCGCCGCGCACATTCGTTCACCAAAAAATGCAAGAGTTTCACGGATTTGGGGGCAGCTCCTTGTCAAAATGTGGTTTTCGCCTGAGCGCGGCGTTCATTCGTTGTTTAATGTGCAGTAGTTTCAAGGAGTGAGGGCGGTTCCTTTTCAAGCAGTGGCTTTCGCTGATGCGCGGCACACATTCGTTTTCAAATTTGACAGGAATTAACGGATTCCCATGATCAACGTACCAGAAATCGCTGTTTGGAAGAATTCAGGATTATGAGGGTGCACCAGATATGTTGAGTCGCGACGCTGAAGTTCCAGGAATGGCTTCTGACACGGTTCAGGATCGTCTAGACGCAACAGTCAGTTGAACCGTGGCGTTGTACTCCCGAGAGCAATTTTGTGGCATGCTTCAGGGTCTTCAAACAGTTGTCTTCCAACGAGGCAGTCCCCTCAGTGCAAATGAACCGTTCTGGGGCATGTGAAGAAAGAGCTTGGAGGGAGGGTAGATTCCAACATCATTGATGACTCTTGGGTTTTCACTGGTCCTCCTCCTCCTCCTCCTCCTCCTCCTCCTCCTCATCATCATCATCATCATAAGCATCATCAGCATCATGAGCATCATCATCATCATCAGCATCACAACCACCACCACCACCTCCACCATCACCATCATCATCAGCATCACCAGTATCATCACCATCAGCATCATCGTCATAATCAGCATCAGCATCATATTCGTCATCATCAGCATCATCACTACCATAGTCATCATCATAAGTGAATTCAATCACCATCGTCAACAACATCATCAGAATCAGCATCGCCATCGTCGTCGTCATCGTCATATTTCCCCATCATAATCATCATCGTCATCCTCATAAGCATCAGCATCATCATCAGCAGCATCAGCTTCGTCGTCACCATCTTCAGCATCGTCAGCAGCAGCAACAAACTCGTCATCATGATCGTCATCATCATCATCATCATCATCATCATCAGCAGCATCAGCATCGTCATCAGCAGCATCATCAGCATCATCGGCATCATCAGCATCATCAGCATACGCATGATCATCATCAGCATCAGCATCAACAGCATCATCACCATCACCATCATCAGCATCGGCAGCATCATCAGCATCATCAGCATCAGCATCACCACCATCATCATCGTCATCATCAGCATCATCCTACTAAAGTAAACAGTGTCATTATCAGCATCATCAGACGCATCAGCATCGTCGTCATCGACATCGTCGTCATCAACATCAGTGTCATCAGCGGCATCAGCAGCATCATCATTATCACAATTAGCATCATCAGCAGGATCATCATCAGCATCATCAGCACCATCGACAGCACCAGCGTCATCATCATCGGCATCAGCATCATCATCCTACTCGTCGCCACAATCAGCATCATCATCGTCAGCATCGTCATCATCGCCATCGTCATCATCATCAGCAGCAGCAGCATCGTCAGCATCGTCATCATGAGCAGCATCATCAGCATCATCAGCAGCATCCACATCTAATCAGCAGCATCATCAGCATCATCATTAGCAGCAGCATCAGCATCATCATCAGCATATTCATCCTCATCAGCATCAGCAGTCGCATCATCATCATCATCACCACCATCACCATCATCATCATCATCGTCATCATCATCACTATCAGCATCACCATCACCATCATCATCAGGATCATCAGCATCATCAGCATCATCATCAGCAGCATCGTCGACATCGTCATTGTCATCATCATAAGCATCATCAACAGCAGCATCATCACCGCCACCACAACCATCACCGCCATAATTATCATCAGCAGCATCACCACCATAATCCGTCACATCATCAACATCCTCCTTATCGTCCTCCTCCTCATCCTCATCATGCTATTCCCCATCATCCTCATCCATATCATCGTCATCAGCACATCATCATCATCATCCGCATCATCGTCCCAGGCCTGGTTTACCCATGCATCCCTCGCCCTCATCCTTGTCGTCCTTGTCCTGTCCTCGTCCTCCTTATACTCCCCCATCATCCCCCATCATCCCACTCCTCCTCCCCCCGTTCCTCCTCCTCCTCCTCAGCAGCAGCAGCATCATCCAATTCCACCTCCTCCACCTCCTTCTCATCCTGATCCTCGTCATTATCTCTCGTCCTCCATCGTCTTCGCCCGCGTCGTTCGAGTCCTCATCTGCCTCATCCTCCCCATCTTCCTCCTCGTCCTCGCCCTCATCGCCCTCGTCCTCGTCAAATACCTCTTCCCATTTCCCCTTCTCCTCCTTCTCGTCCTCGACCTTGCCCTTGGCCTGCTCATCCTCCTCCTCATCCTCCTCCTCTTCCTCCTCCTCCTCTTTCTTCTCCTCCTCCTCACTATCCTTCTCATCCTCCTCCTCCGTCTCCTCCTCCTCCTCGGCTTCCTTCTCCCCCCAAAGCTCATCGTCGTTGTCCCCCTTCTCGCGCCTCCTTCCAATAGTCCTCGCCCTCGTCGTCCTCGTCCTCGTGCCCGTGCCCCGCCTTCTCCGCCCTCGCGTCGGCATCCTTCTCCTTTTCCCGCTCGCCCTCGCCCTCGTCCACGTCCTCCCAGCTGTCCCCTCATCGCCCGCCTTGTCGTCCTGCTACTTACCCGTCCTCGTCCTCATCGAGCCCCTCTGTCGCCATCTGTCGCCCATCCTCGTCCTCATCGAGCACCCCTGACTCTCGTCACCCTCCCCCTTGTCGTCGAAGTCGCCGTCGATCACCTCCTCCTGACCCTTCAACCTCCCCCTCCCATCCATCATCCTCCCCCCTCTGCGAAGAAGAGGTGGGCAGAGAGGGGGATGAGGGCGGGACCGAAGACGAAGTGGAGGAGAAAGAGCATGAGAAACAGGAGGGGGAAAGGGAGGAGTAGGAGTCAGAGGCTGGAAGCTCCAGCGCTCCGAGACCTCGTCTCGCCTTACAGACCGGACTGTCCTCTGGTCCGAGACGTCTTCCCTGGCGGTCCGAGAGAATCAGCCTCAGTGCCTCGAGGCACGAAGAGGAGTGTCCTCTGGTCCCTTCGACCTCTCTGTGTTGAATTCGCACACATGATTGAAAGGACATTACTTCCCGCGACTCCTGACTCCCATCATCATCATCATCATCATCATCATCATCATCATCATCATCATCAGCAGCAGCAGCAGCATCACCATCATCATCACCAGCAGCATCATCATCAGCATGATCATCATCAGTATCAGCATCATCGGCATCATCACCATCACAATCAGTATCATCGTCAGCAGATGCATCAGCCTCATCATAATCATCAGCAGCAGCATCAGCATCATCAGCATCATCACCATCATCATCACCATCATCATTATCGTTAGCATCGTCATCTTCATCATCAGCAGCAGCATCATCATGATAACCAGCAGCATCAGAATCAGCATCAGCATCAGCATCAGCATGACTATCATCGTCATCATCACCGTCAGCATCATCAGCATAAGCATCAGCATCATCATCATAAATATCATTCTCATCATCAGCACCAGCATCATCATCAGCAGCATCATCGGCATCATAGGCATAGTCATCCTCATCGTCATCCTCATAATCGACGTCGTCAGCATCATCATCAACATCAGCAGCAGCATCATCATCAACAGCATCAGCATCAGCATCATCAGCAGCATCAGCATCCTCAGCATCATCATCATAATCATCATCAGCAGAGGCATCAACATCATCAGCATCATCATCACCAGTACCATCAGCATCGTCATCATCATCAGCAGCAGCAGCATCATCATAAGCATCAGCATAAGCATCCTCATCGTCATCATCAGCAGCATCATCTCCATCACCATCCTCAGCATCACCATCATGATCAGCATCCTCATCATCATCAGCAGTTTCAGCATCAGCAGCATCCACACCGTCATCATCAACAGCAGTATCATTAGCATCAGCATCATCATCATCACCATCGTCATCGTCATCTGCATCAGCATCATCAGCATCATCCTCATCATCATCTCCATCATTAGCATCATCATCATCAGCAGCAGCGGCATCAGCATCAGCATCAGCATGAGCACCAGCATGATCGTCATAAGCATCATCACCAGCATCGTATTCATCATCATCAGCAGCATCATCATGGTCAATATCCTCCTCATCATCATCATCATCATCATCATCATCATCATCATCTTCCAGCATCCGCATCGTCGTCACCATCATCATGAGCAGCAGCCTCATCATCATTATCAACATCATCGTAATCACCATCATCAACATCAGCATCATCATCATCGTCGTCATCATCAGCATCCGTAGCATCATCATCAGCATCATACTTATCGTCATCAGCATCATCTCCATCACCATCATCCCCACCATCATCCTTATCAGCATTATCATCATCAACATCATCAGCATCATCGTCAGCAGCATCATCATCGTCGTCAGCATCGCCATCATCATCACAATCAGCATCAGCATCGTCACCATCATCATCAGCATCAGCATCATCATCTTCGTCATCATCATATCCTCATCGTCATCATCAGATCATCAGCATCATCATCAGCAGCATCATCATCCTTCCCCTCACTCCATGTCCACGCTCCGAAGAACCCGAGAGGAGCTGTCGAGGTGGCCCCCGAGAAGTACCCCAAGAAACACTCATATGCACCCAAAGAGGTCTCTGACCCGACAGAAGGCCACTGGATATTGTGGCCGAGAGGCTGGAAAGTCCAGTCGGCTCGCCTTCCGAATTACTCCGTAGTGGCCTCTTCGTCTTCAAGAGGGCAGCGATGACGAGTCATCCCCCAGGACGGGGTCGCGCTGCGGCCAGCAGCAGCTATCCTGCACCGTCGGCAATACGGGCTACGCTGAAGAAGAAGACGCCAGTAGCTAGCGAGCTTCTTATGTGATGGCTGGTAGATTCCTTCCCATACCAACTACTTCGATATGGTGAGACGTCGCAAGAAGCCCATATTCTCCTCCAAGCACATTATGAATTCACCAAATTAGATGTGCTGGGATACTGGCTGCGCTGAGTTGTTACAACCCTGCAAGTCGAGCACCAACAAGACTACGTGGGCCTGATGAAAGACGTCTCATTGGAGCCGTTGGGACATCGATGCGCTCCTTGTAACCCAACAGCGCTCACATACAATTTCCCGCGGAGGCGGGAAATCTTTCAGACCAGCCCGCAGATCCAGCTGCAGCGTCGTGGAATCAATGTCGTTCGGGTCGCCGCCAAAAGGGTGCTCGATCTCCTGAAATGGAGCACAAAATGTCACAGAAAGAACAAGCAGCCTGCACCACACCCATGTGAGCTCCGTTCCCTGCTCGTCCTTCCGCGGTACTTCCTCATGATCATACGGCAAGCGTTTAGCACGTCATGAACAGTACCATTCTCCTCCCTGCAACCTTTCACCTCAAGTCCTGGATAGGGGCACCCATCATGCACAGTACAAGAAGGCGGAGTCGAAAGAGTAGCAAGCGGAGGCGGAGAAAAAAGCAATACGTCATGAGTGTCATCATTCACTTTGCCGCAACGGGCACAGTACCCTTGTCAAGTGAATGAGGGCACCACACGCGCCCATGCCAAGACTGTTGCACAAGTCCCCAACCAGCCCTCTTGGCGGAGGTGGTTTAGGGCAGTTCCTCTTCCAACCCCCTTATTCCCCTTCCGGAATGATTCAACACTGCTCTTTATCAATAAACAGACCTACCCTCACTCGAATGGCCGCCAACCAGGAACAATGCGCCCCACCACGCCCCCGTCAATGAAAACATACAAGGCGCAAGTGGCGGCAAAATCTCAATCATGAGCGGGCACCCTGCGATCACTTTGTATTGGTTTTTGACAGGGACGGCAGGGGGGGATCATACCTGTCCGCTGTGCGCTCGACCAGACTCCGCATCAAAAGCCACTGCAAACCGATTGCGGGTCTGCCGACATGTTGCCCGATGTGTACTTTCACGCAAACCTATCGCCGCCCGGCGCACTCTGTGCGCGTCGCGCCGGTGGCACTTCAGGCGCGGCTGGAACACGTGGCCCTCTGGGCGCACCCGACACGTCCAGCGCACCAGGCGCAGCTGGAGCATGTGGCACGCCTGGCGCACCTGGCACATCTGGCAAACCAGGCGCGCCTGTCAGGCTTGGGCTCCAGGGTCACCTGGCGCACCTGACACGCGTGGCGCACCTGGCACCAGTGGCGCACCTCGCGAGCTTCGCGCACCTGGCGTCTCTGTTGGTTCTCAATGGCTGTCCATGCGACGGCTACCTCTGCCGATGCTAAATCTCGGGTGCTAGGAGGAGGAGGAGGAGGAGGAGGAGGAGGGAGGGGGAGGAGGAGGAGGAGGAGGAGGAGGAGGAGAAGGAGGAGGAGAAGGAGGAGGAGAAAGAGGAGGAGGAGGAGCAGGAGGAGGAGGGGCGGAGTCTAGTCCCCACCGAGAGAAACGAGGGGGGGAAGGGGGTGTCTGCAAAACTAAAGACCCTTGGGGGTAATATGGTGGGAACGCGGGTGGGGCTGAGCGGTACAGCTTGTCCAAGATGGCCCAAAACTGCTCCAGGGGGGCCTCCCAGATGGCCCAATGTGGCCTCCCAGACGGCACCAGAGAGCCCAGGATGGCTTCGGATATTTTTCTGGCAGACACCCAGGCAGTCCCAAGACCGCCCCAAGACGGCTGCAGGTGGCCACGGGGCATCCCAAGGATACCTCGAGGGGGGAAAATCCTTTCAGAACACCTTCAATCCCGAGGCCACGCAATCGTTCAACGATATCCTCGAGAGGCCAAACTCCCAGGGATGTTTGCCTGCCATTTCGCTTTCGATGGGCCTCCGAGGCCTCAAGATAGCTCCAAGATCGCCCAAGATAGCCCCGAGAGAGGCTCAGAGGTGCTTCAAAACGACCGCGAAGGCACTCAAGAGCGCTCCAAGACCGTCCCAAGATGGATCCAAGAGTAGATACTTCGTTACCCAGGGGCGCTAATTCACGCCGCCCCCCTTCCCCGTCCTCTTCCCAAGGGTTTGGGCATCTCATCGCATCCTTCGGAGGCTTTGGGGCCAAGCTGACTGCAAGATGGCCCCAGATGCCCGAAGATGGCCTCCACGATGGCACCAGATGCTCCACGTTGGCTCAACATGGCATCCAGCATGCCTCCAGTAGGCCCCACAAGACGGCCCAAGCTGGCTCCAAGTGGCACCTGAGCCTCCCAAGATCGCCCCCGAGACGCCAAAAAAATCTGTCAAGAACCAAAGGTTCTTCAATATTGGTTGCTTTCTCGCGTCTTCGTTTCCGATGGGCTTCTGAGGTCTGAAAATGACTCCAAGGTCGCCCAAGAGAGCCACAAGAGAGGACAATGAGGGCTCCAAGACGGCCCCAAGGACCCCCAAGAACGCCCCAAGAGCGACCCAAAAGGACCCTAGAACTGACTTGTGAAGCTCCGATGGAGCGAGCCAATTAAGGCACCCCCATTGTAGGCCAACGCAGAAGGACATGCTGGCCAGGCTGCGTGAATGTTGATGTTGGTTTAGCTGTGTGCAAGATCGCGTTAATATGTCACGTCCTGCCTCAAGGGCCTAGTTGACAGACACAACAAAACAAAAAGAAACAAACCAAAACAGTTACCCTGGCGAAGAACCCAAGCATATGCAGGTGTAAATACCGTCGTTGTGAGTATCACCTTCGGCGGATCTCCTTGTGGGGTCCCAAAACGTGTGAAGGGTGTGCCAATCGGGTGTGGCCGCCATGTGGGCGCTGCCTCTGGGGCCTCAGGTGGAGCTCCCTGTGGGGCCACGAAACGTGTGATGGGTGTGCCGAAGCGGCGGTTACGCCCACATGCGGGCTGCGCCACTGGGGCCTTCGGTGGAGCTCCCCATGGGGCCACGAAACGTGTGAGGGATGTACCTAAACACGGGTGACGCCCAAATGCGGGCTGCGCCCGTGGGACCTTCGGTGCAGCCCCATACGGGGCCACGAAACGTGTGAGGGGCGTGACGAAACGAGAGTGACGCCCACGTGCGGGCTGCGCCACTGCGACCTTGGGTGGAGCTCCATATGGGGCCACGAAACGTGTGAGGGGTGTGCTGAAGCTAATGGCGACGATGACGCTACCGAATGCAATGATGATGATGATGATGATGATGATGATGATGATGATGATGATGATGATGATGATGATGATGACGACGGCGATGGTTGTGATAATGATGATGGTGAAGATTATAATGATTGTGAAAAAAATATGATGACGACGACGAGGAGGAAGAGGAGGATGATGGTGAAGATGCTGATGGTAACGGTGTTGACGATGCTGATGATGATGACGATGGTAATGATGGTGGTAGTGATGATGATGATGATGATGATGATGATGATGATGATGATGATGATGATGATGGCGGTGTTGACGATGCTGATGATGATGATCAGCATCATGATGATGGTAGTGATGACCATCATGATGATGATGGTGATGATGATGATAGTGGTGATGATGATATTGATGACGTTGGTGGTGATGATGGTGATGGTGGTAATGGTGATCATGGTGATGATGATGCTGATGATGACGATGACGATGACGATTACTACGATGATGATGATGATGATGAGGATGACGGTGGTGATGATGATGTTGATGACGCTGGTGGTGATGATGGTGATGGTGGTGATGGTAGCATTGTGTTGATGAGGATGGCGATGACGATGACGATTACTATGATGATGGCGATGAGGATGATGTTGATGATAGTGATGATGATGCGGATGCGGATGTTCATGCTGACGACGATGATGGTGGCGACGATGTTCTTAATGGTGATGATGAGGGTGAAGATGACGGTGGCGGTGACGATAATGATGAGGATGACGATGACAATGACGATGCCGCTGACGACGATGATGATGATACAGATGATGCGAATGATAATGATGATGACAATGACGATGATGCTGGTGCTGGTGATGATAATATTAATGTTGATGATGGTGCGACTAATGATGGTGATGAGCATGATGATGATGACGATAACGATGAAGATGAAGATGGTGGTGATGATGATGGTGCACACGATGATGATGATGATGACGATGATGATGATGATGATGATGATGGCGATGTTGATGTTGACGGTGATGATGGTGTTAATAATGTTGATGTTGTTGATACTGCTGATGACGATGACGATGATGATTATGCTGATGATGCTAATGATGGTGATGGTGGTGATGATGATGATGAATGGTGGTGGTGACGACGACGATGACGATGGTGATGGTGTTGATGATGATGTTGGTGGTGGTGTTGATGATGGTGATGATGATGATGACGATGACGATGGTGATGGTGATTACGATTATTGTGGTAGTTATGATGGTGATAGGAGGAGGGAGGAGAAGGGCGAGGAGGAAGGTGAGGACGCGGGAAACTGACGCTTCAACATGGGGACCCAACTCCACAGGACAATTGGATATTCTCCTGGCGAAGAACCCAACCATATGCAGGGGTGAATACCGCGAGGCCACGACATGGAGTGTGAAGGGCGTGACGACATGGACATGCGGTGCGCGGGAAGCCGTACGCGAACCCTGGCATTGGAGCCTTCGGTGGAGCTCCCTACCAACCCACGAAACGTGTGTGAGGTGTTCCAAAATGGACATGCGGTGGGCGGGGGGCCGCATGTGAACCCTTTTATTAGGGCCTTCGGTGGCACCCTATGGGGCCATGAACCGTGTGATGGGTGTGCCGACATGGACATGCGGTGAACGGGGAGCCGCGCTGCAAACCCTGGCACCGAGGCCTTCGGTGGAGCTCCCTAAGAAGCCACGAACCGTGCGAAGGGTGTGCCGAAATGGACATGCGGTGGGCGGGGAGCCGCACGCAAACTGCGACACTGCAACCTTCGGTGGAGCTTCCTCTGGGGCCTCAGAACGTGTGAGGGGTGTGCCGAAATGGGCGGCGGGGACGGATGCGAACTGCGCCATTGGGGCCTTCGGTGGAGCTCCCCAAGGGGCCACGAAACGTCTGCGCGGTGTACCGAAACAGAAGCAGTCGGAGGGCAGAGGCAGGCGATGAGAAGAGGGGAAGGAGGAGTGAAGAGTGAGGAACGCGGGGCGCTCTTGTCAAAACGAGGACCCAACTCAAAACAGGATGGTTGGAAAAACGAGAGGGCCCGAGGAGAGCCACAGAAGGCTCCAGGAGCCCCCGATACAAGGCCCCAAGAAAGCCCCAATCCCAGGTTTAAAGATTCGCGAAGCCACTTATGTTCAACTCCTGTGTCTGCACAGGCTGATCCAGAGCTTCCGGTTGACAGCTGCGTGCCCCATACACTTCCTTGATCAGCGCAAATCGCCTGGGCATCGCTTCTGGATGGGCTGGCGGGGATACGCCAGGCGTCAACAACTGACATAATGTGTTCCAGCAGGGCAGGACTGTACTCGAGTAGTGAGACCTCGCACAAACACATAACGACAACGGCAGCAATTGAACAAACAGGCAACAGAACATGATTCAGCGACTCTTGACAAGGAACGCGCTCTGTTGTGAAAATGCCATGCGAGGCATACGCGTTGCATAACTCACGGGACGGGCTTCAGCGAGACAATACCATATAACGTGGCATGGTGAAGAGAACACGGAAGCACAGTTGCGCAGCTCGCACCCCCCAGGGAGGGCGAGGTCTCATTCTGATCTGAGTATGTCGTCACTCCGCTGGGCCTCCCAGCAGCCCACAAAAGTGGCGGGAGTTGCTCAGCTCGCAGACCCCAAAGAGGACGAGGTCTCATTATGATCTGGTTATGACGTCACTCCGCTGCGCCTCAGGGCAGCGTGGCGACAGCGTCGCGGCTCGCAGCGTCCAGGGAGGATAAGATCTCATTCGGATTCGAAAAGGACGTCGCTCCGCAGGGCCTCTCAGGAACCCACTATAGTGCCGACAGGTTCGAAGTCCGCAATCCCCAGCCAGGGAGGGCGAGGTCGCATTCTGATTCGAATAAGACGTGACCCCGCTGGGCCTTCCATGAGCCCACGAAAGTGACGATTGTGCAATTCGCAGCCCCCGGGGGAGGGGGGAGGGGGTGAGGGGGGAAGGGCGAGGTCCATGCGGAATTCGCAGCCACCCAGGGAGACAAAGCAAGAGGCAGGGTAGGGAACATGTACGGGGCAGGAGGAGGGAGGGAGGAGGGAAGGAAGGAGGGAGGGAAGCGGGAAGAAAGATGAGGGGGCAGCAGGGCTCCAGTCACCAGTCAAAACAACAACCCAACGCAGGAGGGCTTGGGAAAACTGTCCAGGCGAAAGACCCAACAATATGCAGTTGTGAGCACCGCGTTGTGAGTACCGCTTTCGGTGAAGCTGTTTCTGAGGCCACACAACGTGCTAGGAGTGTGCCGAAATGGTGGGGGAGACGCGTGAGGCCGCGGCCACTGAGTTCTTCGGTGGAGCTCCCCATGGGGCCGAGAAACGTTGTACTGGGGGGGACGCATGCGGCCACGACCACTGGAATCTTCGGTGGAGATCCCCATGGGGCCACGAGACGCTATACTGGATGGGGGGGATGCATGAGGCTGCGGCCACAGGAATCTTCGGTGGAGCTCCTTATGGGACCCCGAAACAGTGCACTGGGTGTGCATGCGGCCGCAGCCACTGGTGCCTCTGGTGGAGCTCCCTATGTATCCACAAAACATTGCACTGCGTGTGGAAAACGCATGCGGCCGCGGCCTCTGAGGTCCTCGGTGGAGCTTCCTATGGGAGCCACGAAACGCTGTACCGGGCAGGAGACGCATGCGAACACCGCCACTGGGGCCTTCGGAGGGGGTCCCTATGCTACTGGGTGGGGGGAACGCACGCGGGTGTCGGCCTTGGGGTCTTCGGTGGAGCTCCCTATGGGGCCACGAAACGCTGGGCGGGAGAAACGCATACGAACGTCGCCTCTGGGGCCTTCGGTCGGGACCTCTTATGGGCCACGAAACGCTGCAATGGGTAAAGGAAACGCGTGCGAGCGTCGCCTCTGAAGCCTTCGGTGGAGATTCCTATGGGGCCACGGAGCGGTGTATTGGGCGGGGGAAACGCATGTGAACGTCGCCTCCGGAGCCTTCGGTGGAGCCCCCATGTGGGGCCACGAAACGTTTTGCTAGGTGGGGGACACGCATGCGGGCGTCGCTTTAGGGGCCTCTGGTGGAGCTCGGGGGCCATGAAGCGCTGCACTGGGCTGGGTAAACGCATGCAAACGTCGCCTCTGGGGCCTTCGGTGGAGCTCCATATGGGGCCACGAAACAAGTGAGGGGTGTGCCGAGTCGAGTGCGAGGACGCATGCGAACGCCGCCACTGAGGCCTTCAGTGGGGCTCCCTATGGGGCCACGAAACGTGTGAAGTGTCTGCCGAGTCGGGTGGGGGGGTACATGCGAACACCGCGACTAGGGCCTTCGGTGGAGCAACCTACGGGGCCACGAAACGTGTGAGGGGTGTCCTGAACCCGGTGCGGGGACGCATGCGAACACCGCCACTGGGGCCTTCGGCGGAGCTCTCCATGGGGCCACGAAACGCTTGATGGGTGTGCCGAATCGGGTGCGGGGGCGCATGCGAACACCACCACTGGGGCCGTCGGAGGGGGTCCCTATGCAGTGGGGGGAACGCATGCGGGCGTCGGCCCTGGGGCCTTCGGGCTCCCTACGGGGCCACGAAACGTGTGAGGGGTGTCCCGAACCGAGTGAGAGGACGCAAGCGAACACCGCCACTGCGGCCTTCGGTGGAGCTCCCTACGGGGCCACGAACCGTGTGAGTGGTGTGCCGAGTCGGGTGCGGGGACGCATGCAAACACCGCCACTGGAGCCTTCGGTGGAGCTCCCTGGGGAGAGGAGAGGAGGAAGGGGAGGAGAGAAGGACAGGAGAGGAGAGGAGAGGAGAGGAAAGGAGAGGAGAGGAGAGGAAAGGAGAGGAGAGGAGAGGAGAGGAGAGGAGAGGAGAGGAAAGGAGAGGAGAGGAGAGGAGAGGAAGGAGAGGAGAGAGGAGAGGAGAGGGGGGAGAGGAGAGGAAAGGAGAGGGGAGGAGAGAGAGAGGAGAGGAGAGGAGAGGAGAGGAGAGGAGAGGAGAGGAGAGGAGAGGAGAGGAGAGGAGGAGAGGTGAGGTGAGGAGAGGAGAGGAGAGAGAGGAGAGGAGCGGAGAGGGGGAGAGAGGAGAGGAGAGGGGGAGCAGGAGGAGAGGAGAGGAGAGGAGAGAGAGGAGGAGAGAGGAGAGGAGAGGAGAGGAGAGGAGAGGAGAGGAGAGGAGAGGAGAGGAGAGGAGAGCAGAGAGGAGGAGAGAGAGGAGAGGAGAGGAGAGGAGAGGAGAGAGGAGAGGAGAGGAGAGGAGAGGAGAGGAGAAGAGAGGAGAGGAGAGGAGAGGAGAGGAGAGGAGAGAAGAGAGGAGAGAGGAGAGGAGGAGAGGAGAGGAGAGGAGGAGAGGAGAGGAGAGGAGAGGAGAGGAGAGGAGAGGAGAGGAGAGGAGAGAGAGAGGAGAGGAGAGGAGAGGAGAGGAGAGGAGAGAGAGAGAGGAGAGGAGAGGAGAGGAGAGGAGAGGAGAGGAGAGGAGAGGAGAGGAGAGGAGAGGAGAGGAGAGGAGAGGAGAGGGAGGGGAGAGGAGAGGAGAGGAGAGGAGAGGGAGAGGAGAGGAGAGGAGAGGAGAGGAGCGGAGAGAGACGCTAGGCGCTGTCTCTTCAAAACGTGGACCCAACACCACAGGATGGTTTGGAAAACTGCTCCAGTTGCTGCAGCAGGAGCCGCGTGGCGAGGAGTGCCAGACATGAATATTGAGGGGGTCTCCACGGCGATGTAGTTAAGGGACCACAGGATGAACACCTCATGGCGGCTGAGGAGTGCGGGGCGAAGGGAGAGGAGGGCTCTGCCCTTCCCTCCCTCGGGGCCCCGTAGACGGACGCAGGCGCACCCGATCAAACTGCAGCCACGGGTCGAAACTTTCTCCGCTCAGCTGCCCTGATACGCAACACGCGAGCCGGAGCGGAACGTATGGGCACGAAGCTAAGCACGTACATCGAAAGCGTAGGTCTGGCGCAATGCATTCGCCAAAACGTAGGCCAACACGCATTAAACCAACATGCAGCATGTCTAACCCTAACGTCTTGTACACTGTGCATGTTGCGTTGCATCACAGACGTATCAGGGTAGCTCTAACTCTCCATTCACCCTTTCCTCCAGCTGGAATGTGCGAAATCCTGGATTGCAATGTCCTGGCTTCCGTGATGCTGACTCCCTCCCATGCCCTCCTCTCCTGTCCCCTACCACTCTTTTCCGGTTGGTCCTTCCTCGTCCTCCTCCCCCTCCTCACATCCCCTCCTCTCCTCATCTCAGCATGCGTCTCCCTCGTATTCCTCCTCCTAATCATCCTCCTCATCGTTACGGCATCAGGGAAATACAACACGACAGCCTTGAATAAAAAGAACGTCGGGCTTGATAGTGCAAAGGAGCCTGGCACGATTACAGAACCAGACGGTGAACGAGAACATAGAATCGACAATAATACTGACATATACAGAACGGAATAGGCGGGCAAACATATCCAAGGCGGGATCGGGCATCCTTAGACAAAAAGACGCTGATCGAAGCCGCACAAACCAGGCAGGCTCCGCAGTCTACGAGGGGACCTTGTCGATAGCGAAGTGACGGCGGACACGCTGGCGGGTTATCGAAGAGTTCGACCGAACAGTCATGTTCGGCGGTGAGGGGGGAAGTGATAGGGGGCAGGCCTTCTCAAAAGGCGGCGGGGCTTCTCAGAAGCCCTCGCGCATTCTGAGGAGCCTGACAAGCCCTGTCCGAAGCCGCAGACGGCTTCTCGGAAGGCTGGAGGGCTTCTGACAAGCCTCGCCGCCTTCTGAGAAGGCCTGCCCCTCTCACTTCCCCCCTGGACTCGCCGCCGAACAGGAAGTTCCCCTATCGACCACGATTTCACAGACAAGGACTTGGGATTGGCAGCACCAACACTAAACCAGGGAAAATCCTCCAGACCAGACGACATGCCAGCGGAATGTTGAGAGGCTGTGGTGACGAGCCCCACACTGGTTTTACATTGATTGCAGAATTTGGTTTGAAAATGCCCAGCAACGATGACCCCACGAACCGATGCTGAGAACTGGTCTGAGACTGGGGAGTCGGCAAGCTGTCCTGCCGCAGGAACGTTCTCACCAGTTCCTCCCGAGTGAAGCAAAAACGTTGGCGCGACAACATAATGTGTTGAAAAATGCTGGAATGAAACACAAACGCCGACGGCCTGGAAACATGCTAGCGCAACCACGATCTACAAAAACAAAGGCCCGATCGGACAGATTCTGAACATAGAAGAACAGAAAAAGCATAAACATAAACTTCTGACGCTCCGCGTGGATCTCTTGAATCTGCGCTAAACCCCCCTCCCTGGCGCGCGGCGCCAAGGGGGCCCAGCGCGGATCCAAGAAATCCGCGTGGAGCGTCTCGAGTTTATATTCATGTAGCTTGTTTGCCTTCGATTACTTACAGGCTCTTGGCAATGCGATTGCTGGTGAAAATACCAGATGCTGGGGCCGAGAGCAGACCAACAACGACCCCATGCAGATTCGGGAGGCCACCACCTGTGCCACTCATGCTGTACGCGGGCATATCGAGATATCACGCGCAGAAGCGGCGGGGCGCAGCGCAATGCTTGCCCTGGACTGGAAGAAGCACTCGACTCGACCACCGTGACCTAATCATGCGCTAGAGATAGAAAACCAATGGTTCGCTAATGATTGGTTCCCCCCCAAAAGAAAACGAAAACCCTTCCAAAACCCTCCCAGAACCCTCCGCAAAACCTCCCAAAACCCTTCCCGGAAGGTTTCCGGAGGGTTTCCAGGAGGGCCGGCTGTTTTGCAAGGAAACCTGGACTTTCTAACGCTACACGGTTCCAACGGAGGTAGAAATTGACCACAGAAGAGTCCCACATGGGGGACGGGGAGCCCGAGAACGCCCGGTTCCCCTCCGGTCCAGCAGCCGTTTTGCGAGGCGCAGTGCCATGAGGTTCCCACCGTTCTAGCCTTCCCAACATGGACCACTGAAGAGTCCCACCGCGGGTGGGGACGGGGAACCCGAGAACGCCCGGTTCCCTTCTGTTCGGGCAGCCGTTTGGCGTGACAGAGCCATAGGATTATCACTCGACTACCGCATTCGCTTCTGCCGCAAAAGTGAATATCATACCGCACTTCCTGGGTTTCTTAGGAATCCCTTCCTCCTCATGTTCTTTCTCCCCCACGTGTTCCCCGAAGGGTCTCCACAACAGATGGCGGAACACATAGTCTGGCAGCGTTTACAGAGCGTATGTCCAGATGTAAGGGAAGTTATGCCGAGTGCGAAAAGGCAGCGTCAACGCTGCCCTTGCCTCGGAGCCCGGGCTCTCGCTCGGCTCTGGCGCACGTCCTTGCCAGACGCCCGCCCTGCGAGCAGAATCAGAACTGGGATCGTCGGTCGCGGGCAAAGAGTCGGCCCGACCTTAACCCGCGCACGGTCGCTGCAGACCAAGCCCTAGAGACGCCTTCAGACGCCGGGCCTCCGGTCGCAGGAGCAGGAAAAGGAGGAGGAGGAGGAGGAGGAGGAGGAGGGGCAAGAAGAAAAAGCATTGCGAACAAACGCCGAACAGGACTTGAGGAGGGCGGGGAGCGGCAGAGGCAGCGCAGAGCAAGCAGGAACGAGGGGGCGGACGGAGGAGGTCGTCGTCGTGGACGGGGGAGGGGGCGGTCGTGGTCAGGGCAGGGCGTCGGGGGCGTTGGTCGTCGGGGGCGGTCGCGGTCGTCGGGGAGGGTCGTGGTCGTCGGGGCGGTCGTGGTCAGGGCAGGGCGTCGGGGGCGTTGGTCGTCGGGGGCTGTCGTGGTCGTCGGGGGCGGTCGCAGTCGTCGGGGCGGTCGTGGTCAAGTCAGGGCAGGGCGTCGGGGGCGGTCGCGGTCGTTGGGGCGGGCCGGGGGCGGTGGTCGTAGTCAGGGGAGGGGGAGTGGGCCGGCGGCTCAGGCGGCGTCGGCCGCGTTGGCCGCCGTGGCCGCCGCAAACCTGGCCGCGGGCGCCCCGACCGGCGCCTGTAGCCTGCGGAGCACGGCCCGCGCGTTCTCCCACATAGGCGAGCTCTGGCCTCAGCGTTCGTACACATAGGCGCTTCCGGAAAGCAGGGTGCAGCGGTGATTCGCCATAGGCGTCTTGGACATTTACGAAAACAGGCGATTTTGCACGGCAGACGGGCGATAACGATCACGCATCAGGAACCAACGATTCTGAAGTGCACAAGGATGCCCTCCATCGCATTTCCTGCTTGTGATGGTGATCAGTGGAGAAATCAAAAACGCATATATATATATATAACAAATTGGACGGTGAATCATTGAAAGCACTTGCTGCTGGAGCTTGATTGGGTGACGTGCAGGTCAATTACAAAATCTTCAAGCAACAGTTGGGCAAAAAGCTTGGGGCAGCTTGTGAAAATACAAAAACTACGAAGGAGCTTGGAAGCACACACACACCCATCAGTGTAGAACGTAAGCTGAAAGTACGTGGGGCACTGACTTCGACCAAAGTATTGGGTTCGTAAACAAAATCGAAAGTCCACTATTGCATGGATTCCTCGCGCGCTGCCTTCGACCCCTTCTGAACATTCCTCACTATTACGTTTCAACGGTGTGCAACAAAAGTGTGCTACAACAGTTGGGACGAAACCTCAGTGCGCAACTACTCCAGTATCAACTGTTATGGCTTGGGGAACTTACCCGCAGCAGCGACCAGTACGTGCTCCGACAACTAAAGTTCCACCCAGGCAGCGCGAGACCGATCACTGACTCTCTTGGACGGAAGCCCAGGCGCCCCAGGCACGAGTGGGCGAAGTGCTTGTTAAATGAAATCCGAAGCTGTTTTAGATCCGAATATGCTGTGTCCTAGTGCGTCCCAGACGGGCGACGATGGCTTCGCTTCGTTGCAGAACTTTCTGACGAAGACAAGTAACTGTGCATCAGGTTCGTAGCTGCTTGCCCTCCGTTCCCCCCTTCCCCCCCTTAGCTCGTGCATTTTTCTTGCGATTGAGCGCGCTGTAGTGCGAAGCATTTCTACCACCCACGCGCCAATGTGCGCATGGTTTACTTACTTGGCTCGTCCTCGTCATCCTCCCCCACCTTCTCCTCTTCCTCCTCCTCCTCGTCATAATCAGCATCATCATCACCGCCACCATCATCACCATCATCATCAACGTCGTCATCATCATCACCACCACCGCCACCATCGTCACCGTGATCACAATTATCATCCTCACCGTCCTTCTCTCTCCTCTGGGAGGAGAGAGGGGGAGGAGTCATCCCCATCTCATCCTCTCATCCTGCTCAACCTCCTCCTCATCGCCGTCAACATATCATCCTCACCACTACCACCACCACCACCAGCATCATCATCAGCATCTGCATCATCACAATCATCATCATCCTCATAATCATCATCATCCTCAACATCATCGTCATCATCATCGTCATCAAAAGTATCATGATAATCAGCATCAGCAGCAGCATCATCAGCATCATCATCATCAGCAGCAGCACCACCATCGTCAGTATCAGCATCTTCAACAGCAGCATCATCATCGTCATCAGTATCAGCATCATCAGTATGGTAACCATCCTCAGCATCAGTATCATCATCGTCCTCACCACCACCACCACCACCCTCATCAGCATCAGCATCATCATAATAATACTCATTGTCGTTGTGATCACCATACTCATCCTCACCGTCAGCATCATCATCATCATCATCATCATCATCATCATCATCATCATCCTCATTACCAGCATCATCGTCATCAGCATCAT